AAATAAATAAATTTTAAATAAAATGTTTAGTGATTATCAAGCCTTACAATTTGAGCAGAAATACATGTATTTATTTTATGAAATTTGCATTCTACTTTTTCATAATTAAAAACAATCCCCAAATGGATGTTGAAGGAGAAAATATGGCACCAGGGTAGACAAATACATTACCTCCCTCCCCAAATACACCTTTCTAGGGAAAAATGAACTGTCAGCTCAACCACAAAACATTCAGAAAGTCAAATAATGCCGATAGCCTGGAAAAAGATACCAGGAGGTAAACTTAGACTATGGGAACCAGGGACAGTTTGATTAACCCCATAACAAAAACTCTCTAGAAAGAAACTATATTTATGAAATACTTTCTCTTTATTCTCTCAAAACTACTATTGCTTTGGAGTCCTACCCTGATTATCTCACAGTTACACAGTTACACTCTATCTCATTGACCTCACCATCCAGTTTGCTGCTATATCCAAGCACATGTATATTCTAATCTGTATAACTATACAGAGAGGTTTTACGCCCAGCCTCGTAGACTTGTCTTTTGCCTCCAGCACCCTAATAAACCAATTTGTCCTTCAGTGGAATTGTGTACAGGTCTCTGTTTCTAAATGAATTCTGAAAAATTATCCTACAATATATTTGATCTCTCTCTCTCGATGCAACAAACTCAGATTGATACCACTTATAAAACTATAACTTTTCAAACATATTGCAACCTAAGATGTAAGGTTTCAACTTGTCTACCAAAATATCAGTTCCTTATTAAATACTGTTAACTAATGCACATATCATATAAACATCTATAATGCTACATCAAAAATTAATGCTTACTTTCTGGCAATAGTGGTTACCCTAATACGTTTTTGTCCACTTGAATGCTGATATTGAGTCACAAACTGGATTGCACCCCGTCCACCTTGAGGAATTGGAGCATTGTGCTGTTTTGACAAGTGAAAGGTAGACAGAATCACAAGGACATTGAGATAATGACAGGGAACTTAAGGTGGTAACTGTATTGCACAATCCATTCTAAAAATAAAAATTACCTGTCAAAAGCTAACTAAATTAACAAACCAGTAAATTTGTTCCCCATCTTTAGCTACAAATAAATCTAAAACTGGAGCAACTTTGAAATACACACACTTCTCATAACGAAACTGGTTCTTAATCAACACTGAGAATACATCCCGTTCTACATTAAATTGGACGAGCTAACAATTCTTAACACAGAAGGATGTCCAAGTGCTACATGTAACATTGTGACTGTAACAGTTTTTTTAAAGATAAGCAATACTATTTTCCTTATATTACAGATGGAGGTGCTGGGACTGATGATGTTGATTTGTCTACAGCCATCTATTGAGTTTATGGCACAGATAAGAAAATGGGAACCTTCCTGTTTCCTACTCTATCATAAAGCACTACTACTGTTTACAATTTCTCATCAAACTGACACAATTCAAGCAAAGAACTCTATAATTTGCTTTTCTTCATTCTTTAATGGTCAAACAAAGCAATTTCATCGCATGTTTTTTCCACACTCTAATGTTGTGATTCTGCACTGATTAAAATAATTTTAATCTATTAGTTCTGAGGCATATTTTACAAATAGGAAACTATAATTGTATATAATTATAATTATAATCAGGATTATAAACTATAATCCTGAAGGACCACCTCACCCCCACGATTTCAACCTGTCCCACCCGATCTCACAGAGAATGCATGCTCTGGATCCCCGCAGTAAAAGAACTTCGATTAGTGGGGTCCAGAAGGCAGGCCTTCTCTGCTGTAGCCCCCGCCCTTTGGAACATCT